GAAACCCTATGGGGCAATTCTACTCTGTCCTATAGGGTCACTATGAGTCGGAATCAACTGGACGGCAATAGGAATGAATGGTTTTTTTTGTTTGTTTGTTTGTTTTTTTTTTTTTTTTTGGTTTAGAACCTTATTGAGCTCTTTGGGCCTCAATGTTCACATTTGTAAAGTCATAATAATAATCACAGTCCTTGCCCCATATGGTGACTATGACAATCAACTGAAAATAAGGCATTTAAAGTGCCTAGCACAGAGCCTGGCACATAGTAACTATTCAGTGGATACTACCTAATGTTGCGTTTTCCCTCCTTCTAAGTGGGTGCTATCATTGCCGTTGCTCTTTTTGAATGCAGCTTTGCATATCAGATGTTTATAGGGGTAAAATTCACCATCATGGAGCAATGGTTAAGTGCTTGACTACTAACTCGATTACTAGCTGAAAAGTTGGCAGTTCGAATCCACCCAGAGGCGCCTCAGAAGACAGGCCTGGTGATCTGCTTTTGAAAGGTCACAGCCTTGAAAACCCTACGGAGCAGTTCTACTCTGTACACACCGGGTCCCCGTGAGTCGGAATCGGTAACTAACAACAACAACAAAGCAAAATGGCTTGATAGGATCATAACAGAAACTAAAAGCAAAAAGCCTCTGCCATCAAGCCAATTCTGACTCATAGCAACCCCGTAGGACAGAGTAGAACTGCCCCATAGGATTTTCAAGGCTGTAAATCTTTACCGAAGCAGACTGCCACATCTTTGTCCGGTTGAGCAGCAAGCAGCTGGTAGGTTTGAACTGCTGACCTTTCGGTTAGCAGTCGAGCGCTTTAACCACTGCGCCACCAGGGCTCCTCTAACAAAAACTAGAGGAGGAATAAACATCATGGGAAAATTATGGATTTTGAGGTCAACAAGCCGCACTGCCAAGTGGTCCTGGGATGTCACTTCCGCACAGAATAGCTAGATGTGCCTTAGGAGGCTGTCTGCTGGAGAGCCTGTGAGCATTCTGTCGTTGTCTGCATGACAGTTAAATTATGTCAGGATTGAGACTGTGAGTGTACAAGAAGGGGATGTGTCTCCCCACAAGGGGCAGAAAGAACTAGAGAAGTTAGTCCTGTCTGCCAACACTATAGGGAAACATGCCACCCTCAGTTTCTGCAGGGTAGGGGGCAGCCTTGTTCGTACCCCAAGTGACCCCTAGGACCCAACTATGGCGACCAGACAAATCTGGAACAATCATACTTCACAAAATGGAGTATAAACACTTTTCTAGGAGTAGCACTGATGTGCCTGGGGTAGTGGGAGTTTAGAGACGGAGGATGTGAAATTAATTAACTTGTACATAACTTAAAACATTCATTTTTTGTAATAACACAAGCACAGATATATTATGGAGTAGAATGAAAAAAATCACATGAAGTTTTAAAACATACCCCAGGATTAGGGGCACCACTGTCTTCAGGCGGCACCCTCTAGCCTCAACCTCACATTCTGTCGTGTGTGGGGGGTGTTATCTGCTATCTCTTTAGTTAGGGGAAAGAAGACCTGGTGGCGCAGTGGTTAAAGCACTCAGCTGTTAACCAAAAGGTCGGCAGTTTGAACCCACCAGCAGCTCTTCAAGAGAAAGATGAGGCAATCTACTGCCGTAAAGATTTACAGCCTTAGAAACCCTATGGGGCAGTTCTACTCTGTCCTACAGGGTTGCTATGAGTCGGAATCGACTTGACGGCAGTCGGTTTGATTTGGTTTGGTTTGGTTTGGTTTGGTTTCCTTAGGGGGACTGCAAGAGAAAGTTTGAGAAATCAGGATAGTGGAAAGAATGCAGAAGTAGACTTTAGAAGATACGGGTTCAAGCTGGAGGGCTCTGAAGCTTATTTCATTATCTTGAGCAATTCACTTAACTGATCTTGAGCTTCCTCATATGGTAAACGGGAATGTGCCTCACAGAATCCACCTCAGACTTGATGAGGGGCTCAAAACAATATCTAGGGAAGTACTCTACAAATACTCATTAGGATTATTAGTGAGATGGTCTACAGAAATCAGCTGCTTGGCATTTGGGGGCTGAAGTTAATCTGCTATAGTTCTGAAAATGTACTCAAAGTTGGTGGCAAGGCAGAAAAATAACAGCCCAGTGTGTTAACAGTTGAGTACACACTCGTTGCACAACCATCTTGTAAATTAATCCTTAGCAGGAGAAGCTGAAGGGGAGGAGAACTAGCCAAAATGAGATAAGAAGAAAACCAAGGGATGGCAAAACAGCCCAGTCAGTCCTGTCAATTTCCTACCCATGGTTGATTGAAGATGGAAAACAAGAGAGAGCCATCTACTAGAAGAGGGAGAAGGCAAGCAAATCCAGTTGCTTGTGCCTCACTGCCTGTGGAGTACTGTTAAAACCCCTGTGGCTGCGCTGAAGGAATCGCTGGGGGAATCTATGGAGGCTTCTTCTAGAGTGTTTCAAATACATCTCCTGTATTAGGCACTTGTAATTCAGTAACCCTTTTCCAAACCACACTCAAGACCTGAAAATAATATGTAGAACAAATGCTATCAAATGACATCATTCTTCTGAGTGACAACCGGGGTACACCTATCCCATGACCCCATTAAACAGGGTTGCAACCTGCTATTGTCCTTCAGTGACAAAACTGGTGGCACCTAGCACAGAACACTGCTTACACATAGCAGGCATGAAGCAAATATTTGTTGAATTAAGTACCTTATCTCCTATTTAATAGGTTAGAAAATTGTCAGCTTTTTTCACCAAAACTACCACCTTTTTCTTTTTTTTTTTTTTTCATTCAAACCCTTCCTGCAATGCAATTCCATCAAGTCTCTTAAATGCATATTAGCAGCAAGGAATTTACTTAAATTTAAAAAAACAAATAAAACTTCAAGGTCCCATCTGTGCAGTCATGGCATGCTATTGTTTGAAAACCAGAGTATATTATTTAACTTGGATGACAACCTCAGGGGGTAGCAACCCTGTCTTTCAGACTACACAGCTCTGAGCACACGAGGAGTGCTTGATAAATAACAGCACGTTTTAATTATTTATTTTTCCAATTCCAGATTTCTGGCAGCATGTGCTTACCCCTTGCTTGATTTCCAAGGCTCCTATGAAGATGGATAAACAGTTCTGTCACTTTCTCTTCCCCTCCCCATCCCAGCGCAAGTAGGAACACCTGATCAAGCCAAGAGGTGGCTTCTGAATGCATTCAGGACACCAGCTGGGTTTGGAAGGGAACTAAGTCCTCGAAGACCCAGTGGGTGGAGAGAGAGGCAGTCAAGAGAAATGTTTTGGCTCCATATATCTACACAGCTGTCAGATGGCAAAGCTTGGACTTCCCAAGTTATTACCTGCTGTGGAGCTTTGAGTTGTCTTGTAATTAACCCTAGAGACCAAGTGTGCCTAAATCTTGACAAAAGATTTAGTCTTTCAACAGAGAAGTAGATGGTGGTGATCTTGCCAAACTTGAACCATTAGATTATAAAGATCTAAAACAGACAGATATCAAATGTCAAATTATATGAGTATAACAAGACTAGGTCAGTTAGAAAGCAATATGTGTTATTTGTATATTTTTAAAAATGATACCAGTAACTAAACGAAGATGTCATCTGTCCCAGCACAGTCAAGAGGCAAGGAGGAAGATGCAAGTAACCATTGTATGCAAAAGCCCTCCCAGTGTTTTTCTCCCTGAAAAATAGGGCTAATATTTGCCAAAATATGCTTTGCAGAGAAAAGGGTTGGGGGGGGGGGGGAGGGTGTCTTTCTATACACATATTAATATACCTTACAGCCAAACCTCCCCTGTGTGGTTACACAATAAATGTACCAACACATTTTCCAAGTGGAGCCTTCTCTCCTTCCTCCTGGACTCTTTAAACAAAAACAATGGCAACACCTGTAGCCGTTAATTTCTGCTCTTTGATTTCTGTCCAGTTATAAAGGAGGCTCTCAGCAGGCTCCCCTCTCAGGAGCCATATGTGGAGTTGATGTGCCAGCAGCCTTGGAAGGGAAACAGCCTCCAGAGAAGTGCACAATAGCTCCATAATCCTCATCAACTGGACCCTCTTGAACCGCCGCTTAATTTTCTGGTCAGAGAAATGCCAATCTCAAGACTCAAACTGTGGCTGCCCTGGGAGCTCAGGGGAAGCCAATGTTGTTTGCCTGCTTCAGGCACAACGCAAGGGTGGTGTCTCTGGGCGGCGGGATCTAGTCCCCCAAGCTGCAGCTCAGGAATCGCCTGTAGCACCTCCAGCATTTTCCCTTGCTTGCCCCTCCAGGGTGAGGCTTTCACCCACAAAGCCACCTCCTGCCTCCCCATCCTTTCCCCTCAGCTGGAGACCACAACACACCCTCAGCAGATCTACAGCCCCGCCCCCTTGTACTGTTTCATGCTGAGGGTTCCGTTCCACCAAGCATCAGGCTTTTTTCCAGGCTGGCATTTACCCATGTTGAGCAGGGCACCAACTCTTCAGACCATATCACATGTGTTACTGTGTGTAGTGGGTGGGGCACAAAGCGTGAGGTGTGGCAGCAAGCCGTTTAGGTTCAAAGGCCTCTCTGCTGAGCGCAGTGTTTGGTAACTACTGACCAAGAAAGTCAAACCCACATACCCGCTGAGACTACACAGAAGGGTCAGGGCATGAACCTGGGGACGCGGTTAGCGTAAAGGGGCTGCGTGGGGAGGCTCAGTGCCAAACAAACGTCCACATTTGGACCGAGAAGGACTGCACTAGGATGCACTCACTAGAGTTTTGAGCCTAACTCCTACCCTTCCTCCGCCTTTTACATTCTTCCACCAGAAACCTTAGAACGTGCTTTAGAGTAGCCAGAGATCTCGAATACCGTTTGCGAACAGCCGTCCGGCGGCAGCCAGGGCTGTGTGAACCCGGGCGGGACCTGGTAAATACCAACCCCGGTCTCCCACCCGCTCTGCCTTCGCTGCCACGGCTCTCCAACCGGCGCGCTCCCGACGGGGTCCTGGAGGCAGGACTTACGCAGTTTTGGTCCGTCGTCTTGAAGTCCCGGCTGCAGTTACTGGCGCGCGCCTGGATCTCACTCATCCTGAAGAGGCAGAGCGCGGTGGTGGCGGGGGAGCGCCTCTCCTGGTCCTCTCCGGTGGCCGCGCTGAACACGCCCGCCCAGACGTCCAGGGCCTCCACCAGGCTGGAGGAGAGGAGCAGGCGGCGGCCATCTGGGTGACCGTGGCCGCAATCGAGGGCCGTCTGGCCCTGGAACTGCACCTCGGCTCTCTGTGCGATGCGCACCATGCTGGGCCAGCCGGTGGCGGCACCGCTGCTGTAGTTGTAGGGATAGTACGGGAAGTAGACGCTGCCGTTCCAGAGAAAGGCGTCCACAAAGTGAAGGCTGCCCGCGCTCTCGCTCAGCTTGAGGCGGCCCAGCTCCTCCGTGGGCAGGCTGCGCCCCTCCGTGTCTTTGAGAGCGATGGCCGTGTCTCGGTCGGACGCTGCCGGATTGCAGCGGCTCGCCGTCTCGGGCTCGGGCAGCACGTAGGTGGCGGCCACAGCCAGGTACCAGCGGTTCCTATCGCCCGCACGGTACACCACGCCAGCCGTCGAGCCCTGTGGGTGGCACGACACCACCTCTGTGCCGTTGCGAAGAGAGCTGCGATTCAGGTTGTCCAGGGGCCGCACCTCGCAGGCGCCCCTGTCGAAGGTCCAGCCGGTGAGCAGCAGCCCCTCGAGGCCGGCCGCCCCCTCGCGGTAGGGCAGCAGCAGCTTGCTGAAGCTGCTTCCCGGCCGGGGCCGCGCGGGGGGCGCCAGCGAGACGGGCTCTGTGCAGTTGCCCGCTTGGTCCCGGTACAGGCGCGAGAACCGGCGCTGCAGGCTGTAGTCCAGCTGGTCCAGGCAGCTGCCACTCGCCACGAACACGCCGTGCTCCTGGCTCGCCGCGATAGCTCCAATGGTTTGCTCCGACCGCCACACGGGCTCGTCCGCTCCCCAGCCAGGCGCTGCCAGAGCCAGCAGATAGGCGAGCAGGGGCAGCCGCGCGGCGGGGCGCGGGGCGCGCGGCGGCGCCTTCCTCCGAGAGACCTCCATGGGGCTAGGGGGGCCGCCCCCGGGCAGGGCGCGCGGCAACGGCGGCTCAGGCGCGCGGTGACGGAGATACGGGCGGCGGCGGCTCCTGCGCGCGCTCCAGCTCCCGCAGCCGCCCCATCCCCGCGGCTCGCCCGGGAAGGAGAGCTGGGAGGGCGGCGCGCGGCGGGCTCGCTCCGGCAGCCTGTGCAGCGGCGGTGGCGGCGGTGGCAAACCCTGCGCGCTCTGGTGCCGCTTCCTCCTCGCCCTCCTTGCCCGAGAGTTCGTCTGTGCAGCGCTGGCGCTCGCGGGGAGGTGCGGAGGGAAAGGGAGGGGACTGGCAGAGAGGAGCGAGGCGGGCGGGGAGGGCTGGAGAGGTGGGTGCGCTTGTGCGTTTCACTTTCCCATTGTGAAAGTGGAATGCAACTGGCCCCCTTCCTCATCTTCTTCCTCCTCCGCCCTCCGCCTCCTGTCCGCCCGCCCGCCCTCCCTCCACGCCCATCTCCCCTCCCCTCTAGATTCGGTGAGATAGGGAGGAGGGAAGTCTCGTAATTTGGGTTACTGTGTAGGTGGCCTCTTTCATCTATTCATAACAAAGCTGAGCCGCCTGCCGCTGCCACCGCGGCCGCCACCATCGCCCCTTGGCTCTCCCGGGGCTCCTGGGGCGCGCTAACGGCGCTTGGAGCAGGCTCCGGCGCTTGTCCGCCCGCTGGGCTGCCCCAACGCCCGGGTTTTGTTTACGTGAGCAGCAGGGAGACACCGAGGTGCCGGGAGCGGAGACTCAGGGCACCGAGGGGTTGGAGGGGAGGGCAGGGGCTCAGGCCATTGAAAGGCTGCAAGGGCGGCTGACAGGTGTGGAGCGGCGGGAGGGAGGCTCTCGGGAGATGCGGCCGGCCGAGGCCCAGGCTCAGGGGATCAAGGCGCCCCCGTGGCAGGGAGTGGGTTTCCCTGGGCCAGAGGAGTGAGGTGGGAGAAGGGCAGGCGCCAAGACTCTCGTTCTGGACAATTCCTGGGGCCGGAGCTTTCATATTTGAAAAGGTTCTCTAATCTCCCTTGGCGACGGAGTCCCAGGCTCTCCAACCTAGCACTTGGAAAGTTCTGCTCACCGTCTAGCTTTAACCATCATAGCTAACATTTATTGAGCACTTACTGAGTCCTGGGCCCTATTCTGAATTCACTACGTGGATTAAACCTCATTTAATGCTCATAGCAATCCTATTAATTACTGAATTTTATTATCATGCCCATTTAGTAGTCGTGAAAAATTACGGTGGAGAGGTTATGGAACTTTCTGGAATCCTACTGCTGGTAAACAGCAGAGCAGAATTTGAACCCATATCTGGTACCAGGGCCGCTTCCATACGCTGCTCTAGCCAAGTGACACCTGTGGCCATTACAATAACCTCCACAGGTCATTCTCTGCGGCTGGATTGAAAAGCTCGCCAAGTTAAATGCTCCAATATGCCTCACACTCCCCACCTCATTCTTCTAATCTTAGAGCCAGATAGCTTTCTTTCTCTAGAGGTTTTGCTTCTGTCTCCTTTCCTTTTAGAACCCCTGAGGCACGACCACCTCACCCAGGAAGCAAATATCTGCTGGGTTGCCTCAAAGTCCCCAAGAATTTCCAGAGCACAGCAAATTCGTTCCTGATTTCTCAGAAAGGGCCCTTCCAGAGGAGGCACAGATGCCTCCCAGCTTCCTGAGGCAGCCGGAGTCATCCACCGGCACCCTCAAAGTCTGGCAGAAGTACTAGGGGTGCACTAGGAGCGTCCTAAGGACTCTCACTGCATCCTTGGGAAATAATCTCTGTCCCTTCCCAGGCTATTTCCAGGCCAGAGACCCCAGGCAGAGGGATTGGTTGTTGCCCTTTCTTCCTTCCCCTCCAGTTCCCCTGCTCCTACAGAATGTTTTGGGAAGGGGCTGGGGAGAGTGGGCTTGCTCCAAATGCTGAGTCCCCCTGAAGGAGCAACTGTTGCAGGTTTTAAACTTCTGCAACAGTGATTCAAGTTTTCCCCAATGCTGGAAGATAAGGCAGAAGCAGGTGCCCTAGACAGTTTAAGGAAAGAAGGGTGAGGTGAGAAAGAGGCAGAGAAACATGAGTTCCTGCCCTGGTTGTGCAGTTAAAGGATCATATCGTTCAGCAGTGGCTCACATATCTGAACTAAGAGCAGCCATCTTTCCACTCATAACCCCCTCATTGGAAACTAGTTAGCATGACATTTGCCTGCCAGTAGGTAGCAAACGCTTTCTCAGGAGATATAAGGCCACCCTTTCTGTCATGGTGGTGGTAGTTGGGGTGTTGGTGAAGAGAGCGGAGGAAGAAGGGGAAAGGCCTCAGTTACTGGACTGACGTTAATCAGGAGATCTTAGGTGAAGCAAATAAGATCCTTTATATGCTTCAAAATAATCAGGCCTCACTCCTGCCAACCCCCGTCTACCTGGAATATTTTAAGAACATCTACACTGCTGGAAACTGAAAAAGTAGTATCTAAAAAATATCTACCGACGCTCATAGAACCCTTCGCAGCATAGTAGGGGATTTACGTGCTGGTTTTTTGCACAATTTTCCCCGTGAATGATGAAGAATACAGTGAACTTCACTGTTGTCATGAGTCAGCTGTGGCAATGTTGTTATGTGCTGAGAAGCAACAGTTCAATTCCATTCCGGAGATAGTTTTACTTCACTGGTAACCAAGTAATTTCTCTAAGTCCTGTAGAGTTGTCACAATCAGTAGCAGACCATCTTGGGAGCTATTTGGATTAAACATACTCTATGGTGCAGCATTTTGATCACTACTCAATTCATTGCTGCCTCATTTTGAAAAAGAAACATCATCTTAAAAATACTAGCAGCAAGAAGTATAAATGGCTCTGGTAGCTACAATGCTTTGCTACTCTACTGGAAATGTAAACCTCAGTCTTGAGAGCAGGCTTCCTCTCCCCCACCCCTCCCCATTTAACCGTGTGCAGACTCCTACTGGAGAAAAAAAAAAAGAATCTGTGCCTACTTTTCGGCAAAAAGTCGGAATGGAGGAAACTAGAAAGCATATAAATATTCCTTGCCCATGTCTACCCCATTTTCTACAAACACGGTTGCCCCTTTCCAATTTTCTTGTGTGCTAAAGCTCCACCTTCGGGATACAAGTTCACGTTTGAAAAGTGTGAGAAACAAGAACCACTGAAAAAATATTCAGCTATGTGGGCTCCATATCTCTTTGATCTTTTTTCTTGGACGCTGCCATCTGGCAGAAGGATGCAAGCCACACCGGTGACAAAGCTTCCCTCTCCAACTGACCAAGCCCATCTTGTTGGGTGTCACTTACAGCACATTTTGGAACTCCGTGTAACACAACTGGCTAACACCCAAGAAAAAAGAAGATGGTGCAGATTTATCCTCCAGACAGAGGCCTGCTACCACGGAAACAGGCCGTTCGATCTGATTCCGAGCAGTTTTATTTGCAGCATTCACTAGATGGGAAAGTCTTCATAATGAGAAAATAGCAACTCCCTCAGGCACTGAAGGCAATCTAGGTTAACCAGACCATCCACAATCAGACTCATTTCTACTGGACTAGAATTTATAGATGCGTTGGTTTCCTGCTGAGGCTCAGGACATTAAGAACTGTTCAGTATGCAATTGGTCACAGTCACAAGATGGCTATCATTGGGGCTTCAGTTTTCTTTCTCAATTTTTTTGTTTAAATCTGTCAGAGGTCCGTAGAAGTGACTAGACTGGAAGAGATCTCCAGAACCAAGAATATTAGCTCTGATGGTCAACTCATTCTCTCTACTTGTGTACATGTCTATAACCCCCTGGGCAGTACTTGGGAAACACCACCCACTGATTCCAATATTCTCCTTCTAGGACTTCAGACAGACCACTTCCTTCTCAACAGGTTTGCTCAAATCTATGTGGTCTTCAACACTGAGGCCCTACTCAAAGTTCCTAGCCCCTTTTAGTGACTGACAAGACAAGAGATAGAAGCCAGCCTCCCTTCTAGTCTGCTGTTGAGTAGATGGTTGAAAGTAGATAAGATGAAGTTTGAATTAATGCTGAGAGACAAGTTGAATGCAGTTCAGTCAACATGAAAAGTTGGTCAAATGGAGCACAGTTAAGATGTGGCTGAGGAACTCAGTGCCTTGTTCTCTCTGCCCACCAGCATGGACCTAAGCAATAGTTGAGCATTCTTACATTTGGTGATGGTGCCCTGGTGCCTTTGGTTAAAGTGATGACGGCTCAGTAATGTTCCTTCAGTAGGTGGAACTTGGGTTCACCCTCAACATTACAGTTGTTGCCTTTTCCCACATCATGGCTTAACAGTTCACGGTTGCTCATGAGCTCAGTTACAACTGTAGATGGAAGTGTAGAGTGGGACATACAAGGAAACAATTCTTTACTCAAGTGTCTTAGTTCCTTAGTGCTACCATAATCTAAATACTACAAGTGGGTAGCTTTAAAGAACAGAAATTTATATTCTCACAGTTGAGGAGGCTAGAAGTCCAAATTCATGGTCTCAGCCACGTTGATTCCTTCTTTGTTAGTTGTTGTTAGCGGCTGTCAAGTCAATTCTGACTCATGGCGGCCTCATGTGTGCGGAGTAGAACTGCTCCATAGGATTTCCAAGGCTGTGACCTTTTGGAAGCAGATCTCCAGGGCTGCCTTATGAGGCGCCTCTGGGTGAGTTCAAACTGCCAGCCTTTAGGCTGGTAGTCAAGTGCTTAATCACTTGTGCTACCGAGTGACTCTCCCTGTTGACAGCCCTGGGCATTCCCTGGTTCCCTTGTGATCCTCATATGGCATCTGTCTTTCCCAGTGTGTACATGTCTCTATGTCTAATTTGCTTTTTTTGTAACTCAGAAGTGATTAGATTTAGAACCTGCCCTACTCAGGAGTGTTCTAATTAACATAACAAAGAAAATGCTGCTTCCAAACAGAATTAGATCCACAGGTATAAGGGTTAGGATTCCAATACATATTTTTTTGGGGGGGAGAGGGGACACAATTTAATCAATAACATCAAGGTTCAATGACTTTCTTTAAGCTAAATTAGGGTCTTCATTCAGCTTTAGGGATGGATTGCCTATACAAA